GTTCGAGCCGCTGGAACCGTTCGAACCGTTCGCGGTATTCGTCGTCGTATCGATCGAGCGAACCTCTGCGTCCTCGTCGATTCGCGCGCGGCGATCAGGACGACGACGTTCGAATACGCGCGTTATTAGTAAGTTGTACATGTTGTGTTATCGATCATGCGAGTTCCAATAAACGTATCGTTCACGAAAACGTGTCGTACTTTCACGCAGGTACGGATCTCTTCTTTCCGCTATTCCCAATCTCGCGACGCGATCGTAACGATTCCTCGCGAGTTTTGGCCGTTTTCACCGAACAGGTTCTTCGACCGTTGGATTCGAAGCGATCGACCAGCATGATATTTTTTTCTAACGCCAACGCTTTTGATTTTTAGGGGGCGGTCAGTCGGACCTCCAGTTGGACGACTCGGTGTCGCCGGATCAGTCCGGCAAGCCCGTGTTTGTCTGTCCGAAATGCGGCAAAGGTTACACCTGGAAGGCGAGCCTTCAGCGTCACCTGAGCACCGGTTGCGGATTACCGCCCATGTTTCGCTGCAAACTCTGCGACTACAGGACCAGCAGAAAGGACATTCTCTTCAGGCACATAAGACACGTGCATTCTCGGATTTTGGCTTAGCGTATCGTTGTTCGCCGTCGTCGAATCGTTCGATCATCGAAACGAGACCGAAACTGGCTTTTTCTCTGTTCCTCCTTTCTCTTTCTCTTTATCTTTTTCCGTTCACTTTCGGTTATTTAATAAATACAAGCATCGTGTTACACGACACAGTTCGATACACATTGTGTTGCGTCTCCATCAGCCGGTCGTTAACGTGCCAGCGTTTCCAGCCGTGCCGATCGCTCCGATCCAGGATACCTTTCGAAACGCTACGAGATCGCACTCGATGCGTTGTCGTAGTCGCGATTATAAAAAGAGCTGCTCGTCCAGCGCGTAAGGTGCGTTCGCGTCCAAGAGAACTCGCTTTCATCGTTTTCGTTTCGGTTTGTTGCAGGCGTTTGGGAGGCACGGGGTTACGTGGACAGCTACGAGGGATTGCATTTCCCACCGGAATTCGAGAAATTCAAAGTGCCGGCGGCGGCGGCGGCGCCGCAATCCTCGCACTCGGTGCCCAACTCTCACAAGCGTCACATGTGCGCTTTCTGTAAGAAGGTTTTCCCCTTGAAGAACCTGCTCAGGAGGCACGTGCAGTTCGGTTGCAAGATGAATCCGAGAAACTCGCAGTTCGCTTGCTCCTTCTGTCCCTACAAGAGCACCTACAAGGCCAACATGGAGAGACACGTTCGAAACGTTCACGACACCGGCGTGCTCAAGTTTCGCTGCGATCTCTGCAACTTTCGCAGCAATTACTCGTTTTGCGTGCGAAGACACGCCAAGACTTTTCATCGCTCGGCCGACGACTCGAGCGCGGCCGCGACAGCGACGTCTATCGACGCGAGCGACGCCCTCAAGCGATAGACCAGCCAATTTTTACGTTCGTTCCGTACGTGCCCGAAATTGTATCTTTTACCCTTCACCCTCGTTCATTCCGTCGAATCGCGCTACCGAATTAGCAAGTATCCGTCCGGCGAACGTTCGCCCGGAGGAAAGCAGGTATTCTATAAGGGTCAGTTCGCGAAAGTCGACATTGCGAGTATCATCGGTGTCGTCGAGAACAACAGCTGTAAATCGTTTTGCGTTACAATAAATTAACTCGTTTCCTCGAACAAACGATCGTAGCGAACGATTAAGCCGTGTAAGTTCGATCGCGTAGATTCGCGAAATTTCAGGCCACCTCTCACGATCAGGACTCGTCCGGACAAAGAGAGCGAAGGTTCCTCGAGCGTCGTCGACGACGCGCGGACAGAGAGCGAGTAGAGAGAGAACAAAAATTTGTTGATCGCGTTATGCGTATAGTCGTCGAGAGAGAGAGAGAGAGAGAGAGAGAGAGAAAAAAAAATAAAGAAACCGATTACTTTTCGTTTCGCGACGCGCGGTCGTCGTCGATCGGTCGCATTAACCAGTCTCGTGTTGTTGTTTCAGCGATGTTCTGGCCGTACAAGAGATTCTACGTTTTCGAAGCGGCGAACAAACTCTCTCGAAGGATCGATCAGCAACAACGAGAAAGAAGTTTCGTTTGCGTCGACTGCGGCAAGGCGTACGCGGTGCACAGATCTCTTTGGAGGCATCGAAAGTTCGAGTGCGTGAATGCCAAACCAAAGTTCACGTGCGAAGTGTGCCCGTACAAAAGTCCTCACAAGTGGTGCATCGAGAATCACAAAAAGAAACACCACAAACTCGTTTTCGATTGACGTTCCTACCACGACCGACGCGACCTAGACCTTTAAAGACTGACGAACGAATCGAACGGCGAAGAAGCGGAAGAAGGAAGGTATCGTGTTTAATCGTTAGGGTACTGTCGCTAACGCGTGATCGCGCTCGAAACGCGAAATCGAACGAGAGCTCGAGCTCTTTCTCTCTGCCTCTGTTTTTCTGCTTTCTTTTTTCCCCCAAACGAAACGCTACGAAAGTTCGAATTCGAATACGGAGAGAAGTACGCGACGACTAGCGTTTCGAGCTTCTCCGAGAAAGCCTGTGATAAACGAATTCGTCGAATTCTTGGTTGCTTCCGTTTTCGTCGCTTCGCGCGCGAACTACTCCGACGGAATCCTCCGACGATAAACGCTAGTCGTCGCAGGCGTATTCGACGAGGCGCGACACGCGTTCGCGAGGAAGCAGCGGTGACAAAAACGAAGAGGAAGAGAGCGGAGTGTACCGCGAGTAGATCGTAATTGTATATTCGACGGTTTATCCTGTAGTTTATCGACTATCTACGCCTACGCTCCTCCAACGGCGCGACAACGCGCTTGTTTTCTGTAATAAAACAAACATTTCGCAGGATTGCGTTGAACGAGTTGATCGTCTCTCTGAATCCTTCTCGGCATCTCCCAATCACACCAGATCCGTTCTCTTATGCGACGAGTCGAAGAGCGATCGAAAAGCGTGCTCTTGGAATCGGCGCGCTTCGAAAGCGCATTGCCGCGTACGAGAGAGACTAACTTGGTTCTTCTGTTTTCAGCTTACCGGAAGATGTACATGGGCGACCAAGTTCTCGGCTACACGTGCACGATGTGCAGCAAATTCTACAAGATGTGGAGCAACTACTTGAAGCACAAGTGCGAACCGCCTCAGTTCAAGTGTCCGTTGTGTCCGTTCGCGGCGTTCAAGGCCTTCATTCTGCACGCTCATCAGGCCGAGCAGCACTTCAAGGTCACCTCGCCGAACACTTGAACCCGTCGTTTCGACAGTCCTCGATTTCGCGTCCGAGCGACGCGTCGTCCGATTGCCTTAACTTCTCCAGTCTCGAAGTTTTCTCGTGCCTACGCTTCCACCCGATTTCGCTGTCGTTTTCGTTGCTCGAGCGAGCAGCGAAGTTCGGTGGGACGCGTTCGACCGCTAGCGAAACGCTCCTCGTCGATAACGAGTTTAGACACGGACACCTTCTTCGGTTTCGTATCGCGCGAACAACGCCGCCGCGTTGCTTCTCGATCGGCTCACCTTCGTAACCGCTATTACTCGTAAATGCATGTATTTTCGTAATACCAAAAAATAAAGAAACACATGAGTATCGCAAACGATCGAATAGGCGATGTCATTGTCCACAGACGAGAGAGACGAGAAGAGACGTCGCTATCTCTTTTCGTCCAACGAATTAAGACCTTTCTTTCCTCTTCTTCTTCATCGTCATCATCTTCTTCTTCTTCTTCTTCTCCTTCTATTGTTGTTCGTTTGGTATCTGCCGCGAAACAGTGCCGGAGTTCCGACGGAAGAAAAAAGGTGTTAGGAGACGCGAACGGATGGACGGAAATCGTGGATAATAACGAACGATCGATTTTCTGTGTTTCAGCGATCCTTCTTTACCGTTGCGACTCCTGCGGCAAGACGTTCAAGTGGAAGAAGAGCTTAGCTCGTCACGAACGCGAGGAATGCGGAAAGAAGCCGTATCGTTGTCCCCACTGTCCGAGCTCGATGAACTTGAAAGACAGTCTTGTTCGTCATTTGCGAGTAAAGCACGGACAAGATTGTCGCGTTAGAAATCGATCGACCGGTTTCGGAACGGAGACTCGTCTAACCACCGCGATAGCCGGTGAAATAACTCGGCTATCGAGGAAACGCGCGAGGAATCTGCATGTTCGGTATCGGTAACCTTCGCGATGTCGATGTATGGTCGCGTTAATAAACGAAACGCGAGAGAACGCGAGAGATTGTTTTCGATCGTTAGGCGTTAGGTTATCGAGGATAGAGTTATCCGCGCGAAACCGAGAAGAACGTTGTCGAGGGAGAGAGGATTCGAATGAGAGAAAGGAGGAAGCGGCGGAAAAGCGAAGAGAGCGAAAGGCAAGAAAGGATATAGGAGAGAGGGCGAACGCGATCGATCGATAGTATGCTTTGCTTTTGTGGGGCGAAAGCTTCTTGTTCGTGAACGACGAAACTCGCGTGAAAGAGCGGCGTATTTAAAGCTTCGTTTCTTCCTTCCTTTCAGGTTTCCACGCGTGCTGCGAGTGCAAGAAAACGTACAGGTCGAGAATGGCCCTAAATCGACACGTTCGAGAGGAATGCGGCAGGGTTTTGTACACGTGTCCCTTTTGCCACAGTATCATGCCTATGAAGTTCAACCTGCTGAACCATCTGAAGAAAGAGCACGGTTGCGTGACGAAGATCTGAAGGGGTCGTGCTCCTCGCGCGTAAAACTGTTTGTTCGTTCGCGTTCGCGTGCGACCGTTCGGTTCCGATGTTCGTCGAATCGTTCGTCGAATCGTTCGTCGAAGAAGCATATACGCGTACAGCGAGTGTGTTTGCGTAGCAGCGACGCGAGACACGGCGAGACACAGAGCTGATCTGAATAAAGTGACGTCGAAGCAACGATTTCGTCGCAAACGTATCCTATCCTGGTATCTTCGTTCGATCTCGTTCGGAACGATCGAAACTCGTCGAGAGATGGAGCGAAACGGTAACGCGAGGCTACTAACGATCGCATGATTCAAATTAATCGCAACCCCGTATATCTACCTCGCTTCCCTGTCTCGTGACCCCGTCGATCGTCGGCCGCCGGTGGTACGAGCCGATAGGCGAACACTGATTCGGCCCGATCGATCACGAATTTCCTCGAATTTTTCCGCTCGATCGTCGTCCGTCTTTCTCTCCGCATATTTTTCGCAGGGTTTTCGGTAAACGCGAGAAGACGATCGAAGGGGGGAATCGACGCGTACAGGTATCGGTGTTCGCCGAGTCAGCCGATCGGTTTCGATCTTTACTAATCGAACGTTACGATTTTGCTTGCAGGTTGTCTAATCGGCAATCAGTTGCACGCGTGCAAGAGCTGCGGGAACGTGTACATGTATTACAGCTCGTTGACCAGACACGTGAGGGAGGAATGCGGACAGGCGCCGAAATATCAGTGTCCCTATTGCCCGAAGAGAACCAAGTTACGGTGCAATTTACTGAAACACATGCGCAAAAAGCACGGTTGAATGGAGCCGAGGAGGAGCCGTTCGAGAGCTGGAAAAGGAGAGGACGCGCGCTTTCTTCGTTCGAAGAATCGAAGAATCGAAGACTCGTCTGTAACGCGGTGTACGATTCTTTCGGATGCGCGTGCTTTGTAAATAAATTCGTTGGAATTAGCCATCGAACCATCCGTCTCGAGCAAAGTTCGCCGGACCGAGAATAAGAATGGAGCGTGTCGGAGGTTGTTCGCGACCCGTTCTTCCTCGACCGAGCCCGATCACCCTCTCGATCGAGCGAATAACGCGACCGTGAGGGGAACAGGTTGGTTCACGCGCACGGATAACGCGCACCCGATCGCGACGTAAAGACTCGCTTGCACGCTTACGCGGTGGGCCACGGTTCGGTTCAAGGTGTATTCACCAAACGAACGCGTTTCTTTTTCAGAGTGGAATACCTGTTTGGCCTGTTCAAAGTCGTACAAATGGAGGAAATCGTTGCATCGACACGTTCGAGAGAGCCCGGAATGTTGGCCCGTACTCCTAACGTCCGGAAACGGCGAATTCATCCGACAAATTCACTACAAAATGCTGTACAACGTAAACAATTGATCCGCCTCGTTTTCCTATCGCGAACGCGACGATATCGACGAACACGCTCGCGCCGATCCTGCGAAATCTGTCATCTTGTTATTTCAGATATCTTTTTCTAGAGAAATAAACGTTGCATTATATTCTGACACCAAAGAGAAAGAGAGAGGAATGCGTTTACGAGGAGCGAGGAGTCCCTGTCGTTTCTAACGGTCCTCGTGCGACTCGTTTTTCAGGCTGCCTGCACTCTGGTCGATCCCGCGATCGTTCGTCCCTTCTTCCACGGTTCGCGTTTCGCTAGGCAACACGTTCGAGCTCACCCGATCATCGTCGTTCTCATTTCCCGCGCAACAAACTCTCTAACAAAGATATCCGATTCGGATAAGCAAAGCCGAAAGTGTTTGCTCTTGAATGTCGTTTTCTGTAACACGTCACCGTGGATGCATTGCTGTTGGCTGACGCAACGATTTTTCGCAGATTTCCGACGATATCGTCCGGCTCGGACATCGACCAAGCTACGGGGAAGCTACCCTTGCGGGAAGTGTCAGAAGATCTATTCGAACGCGTCCTCGCTGTACCGGCATCTGAAACTGGAATGCGGCGTGCTGCCACAGTTCCACTGCCCCTACTGCCGCTTCAGTTCAAAGAGAAAGTTCAACTTGAACTCCCACGTGTTGCACAAGCACAGCAAAGCGACGAGTCGTTACGTAACCGACTCCGATCAAAAGCTGCCGCTCCCTCGCTATACCTATTAACTCTTAACTTGATGCCCGATTAAATGCGCGACCTCGTCAGATTATTATTATTATTATTATTATTATTATTATTATTATTATTATTATTATTAATTAATTAATTAATTAATTAATTAATTATTATCGTTGTTATTATTATTCGAGCAACAGAGGTTCACCTTGTATCCCGTTTGCGAATTACGCGTTAAACCAGTGATAATTCGGCCGTTTCACCGAAGAACTGCGTCCCGGATCGTTCGAATAAAACCTATTTTGTCATATTTTATAAGAATAAAGTGTCCGCGCAACGTGGACCTTTTTGTATGTTAACGTTTGTCGCTTCGAAGAGTTAATCGACGTTCACGTATGGATAATGTAACCGATGCCGAATAAAAGGTATTCGTGTCTTTTCCTAACCACGATCGTTCCTTGACGTTTCCCCGAACCGAGTTTCGATTCGATCGCGGACCGTTCGGCCCCCGATTCTCGCGATTACTAATTATTCGTAAATCGATTTTGCAGGTAAACGACGTCGTCGCGGGAACCCTTGGCAACGCTCGTCGATCAACGCCGACACACCTTGCTGTTCGAATCTGTACGCATCCGTTCGCGAGACAACCTTCCGGAACGCGCGATTTCGTTTCGGGGTAGGTCGCGCGCCTCGTCTCCGACGAGGAGAGTGCGTCGCGATCGGCGCGCGGAAAAAGAGATACCTCGTGTTCCATTTCGCGTTTCATTTCGCGTTTAAAATGCGAATCCGTCTGCGCAATTCGAACCGAGACGCGTCTCGACGAGACGACCTCGCGCTCTACGTTGTTGCGCATTAATTTAACGAATTCAACGAGACACCTATTATCTGTACATTGATACGTTCGTTTGAACGGGTTTACGTAACGAGATCATCCCACGATCATCGAAGCATCCTGGTTGGTAATCTTGTTGTGGAGGGTTGGGAATTGGCATCTTTTCATTTAAGACCGGACCCGGAGAAGCTGGAAAGACTGTCGCTCTTCCGCTTTTCCGACAACACTTCCGAGAATACTTCCGAGAATACTTCCGAGAATACTTCCGAGAATACTTTCGAGAATACTCGGGAGCAACGAGTCTTTCCATCTTTTCGCGGCGACCATCAAAACTTCACGCCTATTCACGTAAACACGGCAAAATTTTATCCTGGGCGCACCTATCTCTCGGGCTATTGGCTGATACGTTATGTGTTGGGTTGGTTACGGGTTTAATCTCACTGATCTCTCTTGCCAGTCGCGTAACAACAACTATCCGTGTATCGGCCGAGATAATTCGCTGTCTCGATCGCATATCTCCGTTTCCGTTTCTCCTTCTTCGTCGTTTCGTATACCTCGTCCCTCTTTCCTTCTTCCCGCTCCATCACCTGTCCCTTTTACTTTGCATTTTCGATGCCCCATCCGCATTTTCTTTTGATTTAATAAAATAACTTTCTACCTCGATCTCGCGTCTCGTTTGGCGTCGGGACCTGTTGCAGGAATGGTTGCGTTACTGTCGTTGTTACGCTCGGATTACAAGCAGCAGCAGCATCATCATCAACAGCAGCAGCAGCAGCAGCAGCAACAGCAACAACACTCGCTTCAACAGCTGCAACAGGGAATCAAGAAGAGTCGGTGTTCGAGTTCGAGCATGATGGCTACGGCGAGAAGCGGCGTGGTTTTGTCGAGTAGACGCGTGAGTGGCAGCAATGCCGGAGACAACAAAGACATTAAAAATTACGACAGCGGAAACGACACCGGTGGTCGTAGTTCTACTCGCGAAGTCGTGTTTCCCGATTCTTTCGAAGTTTTGCCGCAACCGCGCGATCTGAGCGTGATTTACATGGGCGTGCCGCACGAGCAACAACGCAAGTTCAGGTGCCGGTTTTGCGGCAAAGGTTATCGATGGAAAAGCACGATGCGCCGTCACGAGATGGTCGAGTGCGGTGGAAAACCTCCTGCTTTTCAATGTCCCGAGTGCCCGTACAAGGCCAGGCAGCGGGGCAATCTGACGGTGCACTACAAGCGACATCATCAAAAGATCGAATACGACGAGGGCGCGTAATGCGCGACACCCGTTTCCGCCGATTCGCACGATCGTCTTGGAAATTTCCCCGTCTCCTTCTCTCCTTTGTCTTCTTACGCGAAACTCGCTCGTATTCTTCTTTTCCGCTTGCCGTACGGATCGACGTACGGGTAGCGACGAACAGCGGAAACGTTTCTTCTTGCCTCTCGTCTCTTTCGTTTACGACGCGAACCGGAATCGGTCTTTTGTACATAGGTAAACGAAAACGGGAAAAACGCCGAGAGCAGCGTTCGTTTTAGCAGCTCGAATACGAACTGCCGTTACCTCGATGATACAAGAGTTTATCGCGCGAGAATACGTTTATTTAAAAGTTCTTAGACTCCGTAAGAATCGCTCGAGGCAAAACCGATTTCTACGACGATCGTACCACGAACCGCGGAACAACGCGTTTCGTAAGAGGTTTCATTCCAGAAAATTGACAATCGTGTTACCACTTTTGAAATTTTTTAACCGTACAATTTTCACGTATTTTTCTACTACTTTTCTACTCTATCCTTAGACGATAGGTAATTTCGATAGCGAAATTCGCGTTTTACGTGAACGACGTAACGCGAGCAAGCGACGTAGAGTTCTGTACGTGTTACGGATACGAGGGATAAAACGTGCCTTTTTTTCGATAGAATCGAAACGCGCGAGCGCATCGCAAATCGATCGTGTATCTATCGCGTTTCATCGGCGATTCGCGCGAAATTGCCTCGATAAAATCGATCGGTTAAAATTCGGGTGTACCGAACTCGGTACCGAACTCGATACCGAAGTCGACGCGTCTTGGACGATAGGTACACGATCAAGAAACGATTGGGACGACGAAGGAGGAAAATCATGCACCGCGTCGTATTTCTTAACGACCGTCACGAATCACCGTGCAAATCGTGATCGTGTAACGATCGCGACTGCGCCCGGTATCGACGAAATACTTAATAGTCTCGCGATCCTTTCGGATAAAGTGCAAATTTATTCGCGACCAAGTTCGTTTCGTTTTACTCCGACGAACGGATAGTTCGAGCAAGCGCGCTCGAACGAACAAAACAGTCGATATTTTACGCTCGTGCTCTCTCGTTCGACTTCTACGAGAGAAAAAATTATTCGTAAGTTATAAAAAGTACTTGAACATTCCTTAATTTTCGCATGCCTTCTACGTATAGGATCGTATTCTTAATGTTAGAAGAATTGTTTTTCCATTTTTATACGAACGTTTATACGCGCGCAAAATAAGAGAGAGAGAGAAAAAGGAGAGAACGCGAAGAGAATACGCGGAGAAAGAGAAGAGATATAAGGGCTCGTCGAGAGACCGTTCGCTCCTCGATCAGAGTCCAGTATTTTTGATATCAGTATTTACGGATGCTCGCATCTATCACCCATCCACGAAAAGGCGTAGGATATAGCAGGATACACGATTTTTCTCGTACCTTTCGTTGTCCAGTGCGAGACGACTTCGCGTCCAACGTTTTCCGATCGCTCTAGCATTTTCAATCTTCCTTATCGAACTTTTCGGCTCCTTATCGATCGTCTCTCTCTGTTTTCTCAAAGATCAAAATCATCGACCGAATTATCCAAGGAATTAACGCGAGTCGTCTCGTCCAAATACTCTTCCCGACCTTTAACTCCCTGAATTTTCTTTTTCGAACGGTTTACCAGACAAATTATCGAAAATCTACCACCATTATTAGCGATTAATATTAATATTATTACTATTATTATTAACATTATTATTTCTATTATTATTATTATTATTATTATTATTAATTATTATTATTATTCTTAATTATTATTATTATTAATTATTATTATTATTATTATTATTATTAATAAAAAGACAATCTTTGTTGCGGGTTATTTTCTAAAGATCGTACGTGTAATTCCATGATCCCACACCTCCACGCACCAAATCGCTTTTTGTAATACGCGTCTCGGTTCTGTTCGACGAGAGGTGGCGATTTAGAGAGGAAGGTGAAAAGATCCGATAGAGAAAATGGCGTGTTCGTAGAGCGATTTGAGCATTGGCGCGTTGAAAAACGAATCGTACGAGTAGGCGGTTCGACTAACCGAACATTTTTGTTTTCAGTGTTTTGGAATCAGCTGCCGACCGATTTCGAGATGTTTCCCTGCGACGCCTGCGGCAGACAGTACAGACGAATAATATCGTTGCAACGGCACAAGAGGCTCGAATGCGGAAAGGAAGCCCAATTCGAGTGCGTGTTATGCCAGGCGAGGTTCAAGCACAAACACAGCTTACTCAGGCACTATAGCATACACGAGACGAACGCGCAGAAATTGGCAAAGTTTAAACGGAAAGGAAGATGGACAACTTGACGGACGAGACTTCGGAGACTCGGATGCGTGGACAGCGACGCGTCGTCCTTACTCTCTCGTCTTCTCGTCGCGAAAGCGTTCGATCGGCTTTACGACGATTCCAAATCGTCGTTCGCCTCTTTTGCGCGGATCGAATACGCGAAACGCCGAATTAGATTCGTATCGAATAAAGATTAATTATATTAATCGTTCGCCGCGAACTTTTACTTGGAACGCGATCCCGAAAATTCTCTTCGTCTTCTCGCGTTTTCTTCGTTCGTTTAGAATTAAATTGTATGCGCATAGTTATTTACTTAGTATAATCGTTGTTTTTTTAAGTTCGATCGTCGCGATCAAAGAGTCGATCGGATCAGTGTAATCTTAATTCCTAACGCATAAGACCAGATCTGCACCAAAGTGTTAATTTCGCTTATTTAGTTTCGAACGACGTTATGTTTTTCAGTATTTTTTGCATATAAGTTGGTCGTTCGTTCGATATCGGTAAGAAAAGATGTTCGAAAACCTTGTAACGGCAAGAGTTTCTCGCTAAAATCAGTTTTCACCGTTTGTCTTCTGTTAAGGCGAATAAAAGTTACGCTTTCCAATGCACCTCTTATTTGTTACTCGAAACATCTCGTTCAAGTTTAGCACCTTGTCACGTTACACCGGTTTACTCTCGACTTAGTCGCGTACCTTTCGCTCGATGATCTTAACCGGGCGTTGGTCGCTCGTTTCGGAACAAGATGCCGTCGTTGTATTTGAAACTTCTTCTCTACATCGTTTATTCTCGTTTCAGGTAACCGCCGGAGGAAAGAGAACGAAGCCGATCGAAAGAGAGTCCTATGCAGGATTCCGTTCCCGTTCGAAACGTTGATCGCGGTCTCGAACGATCGTTCAACAGGCTTCGCTCGAATTTCACGATCCTATCGAGATAGCCGCGGATTTCGACCGATCGAGAGATACCTTTAGGTTCTCGCGGGTGCTTCGAGCGAAAAGAAGAACGCGAAAATCGTCGATAGATTAGTCGCTCGGTTCTCGCGACAACGAGAGCGAAGAGGGAACAGTAGTACAGTAGTAATCTGATTTTTCAGGTGATCCGGTTCGCTGGGAATACGCGATGGTTCGAGCGACACCGTACCAGTGTCCGAAATGCTTCAAATATTTTAAGTCCTCGAAATCTTGCTGGAACCATCGAAGCACGTGCGGCACGGACAAGAAATTTCGTTGCGCGTTCTGCGATTACCGTTCCCATCAGAAAGGAAACGTCCTCAGGCATCTTGCCACGCAGCATCCAGAAGCGAGCCAGAAGAAACGGATCAGTTTCGTGTTGAGAGTCAACGATCGCGAAAAGGCCGATTTCTACTCGAAACCGACCACCGGACGCGAGTGAGAACGCGGTTCCTCGAGCTCGCCAATAAAACCGAGAAACGATTGTAAACTCGAAGACCGATGAAATACTGCGAGAAAAATGCTTTGTATTTATTAACCCAAAACGATCATCGTTTCTGTTCGCGTTTCGTTACGCGTATCGTTTCGCCGGACGGTAAACGGGTACGTTGTTCGACCGATTCGTGAAAAAGATAGACGTTCGGATCGAAGAGAGCGTCGAGAAAGAAGAGTAACGGGGGCGGCACGTACTTCGAGAAAAAACGTGAAAAACGTGCAACCGCGAAACGTTGTACATACTACGTACTTTGTTCGTCCTGTTCTCGACGCGCGTTTACTATTCGAGCGTGATCCCACTAGCACGTAAGAGACTTTTTTCTGTTTTTTTTTTTTCCTTTTCTATTTTGTTCTTTTTAGAAATTCGAAATCGATCGTTTCGAACAGAATACGTGTACCAGGTGTGTGCTCGATTACGGTGTTACGGAGAAGTGTCGCGAGGCACGGGACAAGCCTAAAGCTATTGTTTTTTTTCCCGATTGCAGATGAGACGAGGGAGAACAACAGGCCGATCGAGGAGAATGCCGACTTGCCGGTTCAGGCTTGGAAGATGCAGGATCAGGGGTTGCCGTTTGCCGAATTGAAGATACCGAAGGCCTGTAACTACGTCGGAAAGAAACCACCGGGACAATTCGGGTGCAGCGCGTGCGGAAGATCGTACATGAGGAAGGATTCTTTGCAGCGGCACGTTCACTGGGAGTGCGGCAAGGAACCTCAGTTTCAATGTCCCTTTTGTCCCCAACGATGTAAACGAAAGGCTCATTGGTTGCGACACATTCGTCGTCTACACTTCGATAAGATAGGAGACATGGAGGCCTACTTGCTCGCTTACACGCCGAAACTCGAGATCGATTGAAACGAACCGATTGACCCGACTATCCGAATTTCCTACGTATCGAGGACCCGTTGATTCGAACACCGCCTGAGTCGTCGCTGCCAGAGTCGTCATCGTCTTCATCGTTGTCGCCGCTGCTGTCGCCGCCACCGCCTCACCGTTACGATCGATCTTTCGCGTGTATCCAATTACCGAATATTCCGAATATTTCGATTGGCACAACTTTCAGGCGTGATAGATATTTTTCGAATTTATACCACGATCAAACGAGAAAGGACCCTCTGCTGCAAACGGAAGTGAACGAGACCGTTCTCGGATATCATCGTGTCATCGAAAACTAATTTGTCTTCTCGAACGCTGTAACAGAGCAGCGCGATCGGACGATCGGTGATTGTACCGATCGTTCGATCGCATCCTGTCACGCGCGTACATTTTTCTTGTCTTTTTTTTTTTCTCGCTCGCGCATACGTACATTTATCATCGACGACGATCGTACGGATTTTGCGTAAAACGAGATTCGTTTCCAGAGGCGTGTATCGAGTAATCGCAATCGCGAGTCTCGTGTTCCGAATCGAAGAACGCGCCAACTCGACTGATATTTATTATTGTGCGTCGAATTTATAGTTAGTTTCGTATTCGTGTGCGTGTAACGATAACGTGGTTTTTTTTTTACTTTTTTTCCTAATAAGTTCGTTAATAAGCTGCGCCTATCTTTTATATTTTCTTCTTCTTCTTAACCAATTTCGTTTTATTTTTCTTTTTTTTTCTTTTTTTTCTTTTTTTTTTTTTCTTTTGTCTTACAAGACTCGAATTGTAGTATTTTCTAGGAAGATGGACTTTTTGTCTACGGACGTTTTCCTTGATCGCGTCGCGTACTCGCTCTAGTGCCTTATCGATGCGCGTAAGCGTAATCGGTCAAAAAATCAGACAATAAGTTGCGATTTGTCTAAAAGTAACGACTAAGAGCAGACTATACGAAAGAATCGTTAAAGACGGTACGAGCATAAGATTATTTTCTATAAAACGTAGAGAAGCGTACAGAGGTTCCCGAGCGAACTTTCGTTTAAGACTGACCAAGTTTAAACGCGACGAACAGATTCGCAGCGTTGCATTGCTATCTTTGCGATTAGTATTTACGTTATACATATATGCGAGTTCCATCGTATTTCGTACGTTTGATTAAATAAATGTGTCAGCAGACGAAAAGTACCAGAACGACACCCAAACATCCACCTTGCCATTACGCGCGTTAATTGTACATTTTTTTTTCATCGCTGCACTCGAAATCGGACGATGCAACAGAACCTACCTTCGTATTTCACGGTAAATCGTTCGCGTTTGTTTCAACTGGAAATGACGAAACGATCATTTTTACGTACCAACTCGTTACGATACACATTTTTTTTTTTCTTTTTGTTACCAGCGAAAACGATCGCATCTCGTCGACTTTGCGAGAGTATACTTTCTTTTCCGCATTTTGGCCTTTCTGTCTCTCTCTCTCTTTCTCTCCCTGTCTCTCCTCGGTTCTTTTTCCCTCTCTTTTTCCCTTCTTTCCTATCTTTCTCGTTTTCGCTGCTCGTTCTCTCCGTCTTTTCCTTCCTTCGTCTCTGTTCTTCGGTTCTCGATCTCTGTCATGTTCATCCTCGATACAGGAACATTGTACATTGTTAAAAATAGAAAGGATCGCGTCGACGCGTCGTTCGATCGTGGAATGTAGGATCGGAAAGCGTCGAGAATATCGATGGACGCGGATAATAGTTTCCGTCGTGTCCGGGCCACGATTCGACGAACGAGAAAACGCGTGGTAGCGATCCTGGATCGACGGTCCGATTGCGTCCTCGCAATTGTATCCTCTCTGTTGAATCGTTGATTTCTCTTTTTCCCTCGACGATCTTAGGGGAGTAGCATGCGCACTAACTCTTCTCGAAACTTGTACATAGAAACACGACTTTTATCGCTTGCGCATCGAAGGGAACAGATCGGTTCGACCGCGTTCGATCGCGTTCGATCGTCTACCGATCGATATACTGCACGTTCTGTTTCTTTCGAGGCGCACAGATATCGCTCCTCCTTCTTCGTATGCGAAATTCATATAGCTAGTTGCTTGGGGCTCGAAAGTAGGGATACAACGAACGTGCATAACTACTCTATTTTCTCTGAAACGGAATAATCGAGATATTACGATCGCGTGGTCGCTCGTTCGGTCATCCGATTCTCGATGCTCTCGAGCGAGACGCGATCGGCTTTTCAGGACACACCCTTCGCGAAAGGTAGCTTCCTCTTCGGGCAGCGAGCCGCGGAAGTTGCCGCGTCGTCGATCGAAGCTAACTTTCTCGGGGGACACTCGGTGGGCGTTCGGCCCAACGAGAAGCGACGGAGAGGAAAACGCGACGCGCGTCGAGTCGGTTTTCGCTGTAGCTCGCCTTGTCGCAGGGTGCGTTCCGCCTCGGCTCGTCGAGGCCGACGCGATTCGAGAAACAACGGAAGAGAGACGGTTTCCGTCGGATCCGAAATCTCCGGCGTTCTATAAGGAACCGAGACAAAAAAAAAAAAAAAAAAAAAAAAAAAAAAAAAAAAAAAAAAAAAAAAAAAAAAAAAAAAAAAAAAAAAAAAAAAAAAAAAAAAAAAAAAAAAAAAAAAAAAAAAAAAAAAAAAAAAAAAAAAAAAAAAAAAAAAAAAAAAAAAAAAAAAAAAAAAAAAAAAAAAAAAAAAAAAAAAAAAAAAAAAAAAAAAAAAAAAAAAAAAAAAAAAATACGAGCAAACAGACGAGATCACGTGACAGGATTTAACGATCGATTCCGTTTCCGATTCCGATACCGATTCTCAGCAGGTCCGAACGCTGACGAGGTTACTAATAAAGCCGCGATTCCTGTGTTCCAGCCGAGGACTTGAGCATCACCGGTCTAAAGTGGGCAGCCGCCTGGCAGCGATGGAGCGTGCCGTCGATCATGTGGCGGTCCGGCGGCGGATTAGGCAAAGGCCTCGGTTCTGGTTCCTCGAACCCCGAAGGCTTCAACTGTCCGGCCTGCGGTAGGGTCTACAAGCTGAAGAGCAGCCTAAGGAATCATCAAAAGTGGGAGTGCGGCAAAGAGCCGCAATTCCAGTGTCCTCACTGCGTGTACAGGGCGAAACAGAAGATGCACATCGCGCGACACATGGAACGGATGCACAAAGAGAAAATCTACAAACAGGAGCTCGTCTAACTGAGCCGGTACGGGGTTGGGGGGGTTACGGATGATTCGGGAGAGACGAGGTTGGCGCACGTAGCGAGAACCGTCGACGTCGACGCGGTCGACCGGACGCGGAAGAAAGAAGAAGAACGGAACAGCGAGAGAAAGAAGACTTCTTTCGCGCTCGAGCGTCGACGAGCTTGTCAGCGAACCGTTCGCGACCACCGACAAGAGCGTAACGAGTGTACGGCTGGACAACCGGGAGATCGAACGGGAGACGAGCGACGCACGAAGGGATTAAGAGAACGAGGCTAATAGCGGCGACGATGACGATCGAAAGAAACCGATCGAGAACGGTGAGACGCGAAGACGAGACGCGGCTGGCTGGGCTGC